GGCATACAACACTGACACTTTGTTATCGCAGTCAATATTCGAACCAATTCCACAAAACAACTGTGTGAGAATGGTTCCCATGCTTTTACTGGAGAAAGCTGTGATAACACTAATCACCCTTGTGCTGCTCTAAAATTTTTATTTTTCATTTACAATAAATTATCGCCTGTCACCAGTTACGTGTCAATATGTCGCCACTTTATTATCAAATGCAAAAGTCAGTATACCTCTGTTTTTCAGCATTGACCAACTCTTTCCAGGGATTATGGATGGGGAGAGCTTTATTGTAACATCAGGTTCTTAAAAACTACGTATACAGATAATTATTTGGATTATCATGACTAATATTAATTGATTAATTACGTAACCTCTTATCACTAACTGTCATCGAATAATAGGTTAAAACGCACGCCCATCGATAGCATAATTTTAAAGAAACTTGTAGGCTAATAGCTTCACACGCCCACGTATCGACCAGAACCCTTATAACTTTGAACCAACTGACGTATTTCCATGACACTGGTGCCACCACAACACACTAACATGGAGGCCGCGCGGAAATTTTATGTGGGAACATAATTGCATCTATTAATGTACACAAGAGTTTATATTTATTACGACACGTACAATGCGCTGTGTAGCGGACTGTCAGAAGCTTATAGCTCCTGGACCAGTGGTATTCAACCTTCTTTGTTCGCGTACCCCCAGATACAATTTCTCCTCAACTTTGTACCCCCAAAGTTGTTGGTGTATAATTCAAGTTATACATAGTATATAATCTACATTTAAAATAAATTAAATAAATTACATTACTGATTATTCAGTGTTTATCATAAAATAATATGTATTTTTTTAAAATTTCACGTACCCCCTAAGATGTCTTCGCGTACCCCAGGTTGGATACCACTGTCCTAGACCAAGAGTCATTGGGAAGCTTAAACTCTGCTGGTATAGCTGTTGCCCAGGAAAAGGTCACCCCTTTCTCAATTGTTTGGTCCCCTGTAAGTGTCAGGTCTATAAGAGGGCCTGAGGCATCACAACAGGACTCCTCCGAGATACCTCAAGAAGACCAAAACCATCCCTACATGGCACGCGGTCCTGCACATCAGCGGGCAAGAATAAATGTGCCGCCACATGAGCTGGCCTAGTTAAAGGGGCTAGGTCCCTTATTAGATTCTGCAGCCGAAGGAGGCAACCCACATCTGTTGCCCAGCAAGACCACTAGGAAGTATTGCAAGGCAGACTGGCAAAGAAATTAAAATTTGCAATGCTAAACTCTACCGCAGTTCAAAGCTCCTCAAGCATTAAACACATGCAATAATTTAGAAACCAAAGACAGTCATAGAAAATAAGATTAAAAAAATAAATCAATGTAAGGCTCACCTTTTAAAAATGCCAAGTAATTTCCAACAACACAGTAACGATCTCAGGGCCATGTTTCACATGAAGCAGTGTCTGTATGTCTTGTATGCTTAATATTGCCGGAAGCTCAACCAAAACAATACTGAGTACAGATCACATCACATATCTCCTTCACACGCATCTTGGCAACAAACAGATCTGAATGCTTTAAGTAGAAATCTTGTACCTGCTGCTGTTCAGTGTTTTACAGGTTGGTGCACGAAATGTTAACACTTAAAACTCGTAGTTTAAGCCCCAAATGTTACAAAACTTAGAGAACCTGAAGCAGAATTTCTTGATAAATATCCTTAGCTAAGCACATGTTCCACATAACCCCATCTTCTTTGAAACGTGGGTAAATGATCATAACATGACGTCGCCGAAAATTTTCTGCACGACTGGACAATCATAACTCTTGGGTCAACGTGTTTACATTTTTCATTTGAGAGCCTCTCTTTCATCAAATCCCACACGAACAATTCACATTATTTAAAGTCTGGAATAAGGGGAGTGTCAAAATTGCCCACAGTTGTTACTCTCGGGATACCTATATGAGAATACTAGGGCCGAAAACAGTGTGCAGAAAATCCGAAGTCACATAGTAGAGTGAAGTGGCAGAGGCTTGCCTTAAGCTTCTGTATGAAACCATTTTGCAATATTTCCACGCATCGACGTGAGTTCACGTTTTCATGGAAGAAAAAGTATTCAGGTAAACCTTGGCTTGGCATGGCTCGTGATCTGATGCGGATCCTTTTGCTCAAAACAGTGCATCCCGCTTGTTCACCGTCCCATACGAATTAAACTAAGCGATGTTCACAAACTAGATGTCTAATGTGGCGTTTCAAAGTCTGTCATTGTTGCTGAAACAAGTCTTCTTTGCTTGTCTCTTTCTGAAAGTTCTTGCAATACGGACATTTCGTACGAAAATATCTGCAATAACGATTAAAAGCTTTATTTACTCCCATACCTGAACGAAACGACTTGTACAAAGGAAGATTCCTTAATATAATGTGTTCAAAATAATGAAAGTACTGTGCATGGGTTTTGTTCCTGAAACAGCCCTCTACCACTACACAGTGCTACCTGGTACCTCGGATTAGATGATGTTACAGATTACATACCAAACTAAAAAAGCAGCGATTAAATAACCCACCATTCATCTGTGCGATTTTCAATTCCCGACATGCAACTGAGAACAGAACAAAAACCGATGCCTGACCGTAAATTCCAATATGGCTAGCTAAATTACTATTGTATCTTCGTAAACAAACCAGCAATAAGTATCCCACGATGCCCAGTATAATGGAATCAGTGCTTGTTGGTAAGAAATTATGTCAACAGCATATTTAATATGTATCCATAAATATAAACCTTCCGTTATAGTTAACCTTGTGGGTTGAAGCTTGACTCAGGATCGAGGGGTCTATATAACCTCCTTCACAGTTGTAAAAGTTCTCTGTGAATGAGCCGTTACAACATTCTTTAAAATATTTTTTGTTCTACGTCATTGCCATTGTATGTAATAAAGATGTATGTATGTGTGTATTTATGAGGACCTTACCTACGACTCTGTTAGTGGTGGTTCTGGCTATAACTGAGAAGCAATATGTGCTGCGAGATATTCAGCAGTTTCATAAACAGCGAATCTAACCGTGAATTGTCAATATCACCCCAAATTTACACAGCACTGAACCGAAATTCTTATACTATATTTAGATACAACCTTATCTGTGATATTCCCTTTCACAACAGTAACTGATAAAGGTCCCTGTTTTCTTATTTGTTAAGTCCTTGTCTAACAATATATTTATGTCACTTCCTAGACAATTTAAATTATATACATGCCCACATATTTTACTGTATAATTACGAAAGAACTATTTCATTATAACGAAAGTTTTGAAATAATATTCAGCATTCTGTGACAACAGATCCTTTTCAATTAACTTTCAGAAACTATCTGCTTTTCAGGTGGGGGTACTGGGTTTGTTGGTACTGCATTCAGCCAGCTACTGCGCAGTAAAGGATATGGTGTAACCACAGTATCTCGAATGCCTGGACCCCAAAGGATGTCTTGGGTGACTATCACAAAGAAATCCTTGGCATTTACTTTTGTGTATTTTTTGTTCTTGGTGCATAAAGTAGATGCAAAATGAGCGAGGCATGTCACTTCAGACATTTAATCTTCAAAACTGCACAATAAAATCTGGTAACACCTACTCTGAAGCTGCTTGACAGTTAACTTTGCCTGTATTCGTCCATTACAACCGCTACTTTTCATATGAAGCTCAAGTCTAAATTCATCAGTCTCTCAAATATAGTTCATTGTATGAAAGCTTAGTACACACCTGAAATGTAGACAGGAGATCAATATTATGTGTATTTAAATGAATACAAGGAGAGAAAAAAGGAAAGGCCATAGCTCAGACAAAAGTAGATTCTGAAAGCAGAGGCCCAAGTCCAATCCCAGGGCACTCATGTGGGATTTGTGGTAGACAAAGTGGCACTGGGGTAATTTTTTTTTCAGAGTGCTTTGGTTTTTCCCTGCAAATCAGCATTCCACCAACACTCCATAGTCATGTATCACTGCCTTTGGGGTGGGTGATAAACCTGACTTCTGACCCAGCACGTCGATGAACTTGGAAAAAGTAAGGTAACATTTTAAGAAGGAAAAACACTTGAGTCTTCAGTGTGGTATTAGAGTAATTAGATGTACAACAATAAATTAACCACTGCTGGAATATTCCTGTAGGCCTGCATCTAAAATGTTAACATTTTACAATCCAACAATTTTACTTTTTATCCAAAGAAGCTACTAGCAGGTGTAGAAGATATATTGGGGGTAATATACATGATTCACTTTTTTTAAATATAATTTTCATTAAGTTCATGCCAAAATTACATTTCAAATGTTATATTATAGAATACTTTATTGAGTAGTATATCCCTTAAGAAGTTCTTAAATATTGTGTCTTGAAATGTCAACACTGAAATTATTCTTTATCTGAGCTCTGGTGCACAGTCTGCAGTCAACATGATGTACAGAACAATACTTCCTCCATGTCAATATTATGATTTAGGCAGATTTCAGATTTATTGTCAAGATAATGAATATGCAGTGAACTGATTTGTGCACTAACCACTTATATATGCTTGGTACATGCAAATTTTAGCCATCTCCTAACACTGACCAATGAGGGATGTGAAATTACATAAAAATTAATGTAAAAGATCTATGCGGTGCAATTTGGACTATGCCATGCTATCAGAACATGACATACAAATTTGTTTTACCTTAAAGATCAATTATCTGCCACTTTCTAACAGGTAGTGACTGAAGTAAGCACAAGTGTTTTCAGTTTTTCCATTTCTTCCAGACTGAACTGGCTGAGTCTGGTTTGCCTGTTAACACTGTGGCTGTTGTAAGTCTTGCTGGACAAAATGTTCTGGATCCTACACGGCGCTGGACCCCAGGCTTCAAGCAAAATGTGTGGGCTAGTCGAGTCAATACTACACAATCTCTTGCAAATGCAATCATCAAAGCACCATTTAAACCGAAAGTATTCATTTCCATTTCAGGTGTAGGTAAGACTGTAAAGTCATTGACAGGATAATTTATCGGACACTTCTTTACTGTAAAGGAACAATTTACACTGCAAGTGTAACAAACTCTCTGGTAGCAGAACTGAAGGTTCAGATCTCTAAAATGCATGTTAAAAAATTACCCTATATGGAAACATGGTCGGCAAAATAGTTGTATCCAAGAGGATAGTACATAACATGGAGCTTTGTGGTTTGTAAAGGTAACCTAGGTAGATTAATGAATGAGGTTAAAGGAGTCTGGGGATGTATCTTGGATTGAGGAACATGAAATACATACACAGGCTTGGAGAGAAACCCTCCAAGAGCGCAGTTACTTAGCAGATTGAGAATGAAATAGGAAGATAATATTAAAATTAGTTTTAGGGTATTATGTTGTCAGAATGTGAAATAGATTTCAAGATTGTGTAATGGAGGGCTTTGTTATTAACAGTATTTAATTTCTGGGTTCTATTACCAATGAGTTATTTACTGTAAAATTGGAAATATAATTTTATCTACTGTTCAATTTTTTTCAAGGGATATACCAGCCAAGTCAAACAGCAGAGTACAATGAAGACAGTCATGGAGGAAGCTTTGATTTTTTGTCAAAGTTATGTCAAGAATGGGAGAGTGTTGCCAAGTTGCCAGCAGATTTGGGTATCCGACAGGTCACAGTTCGATCTGGTAAGATAACAATTATTTAGAAAGTTCTTGAATAAAACTTCTTAGATATGTAAGAGAAATACTTGAGTTTCATTTTTTTCCACAGGTGTTATACTTGGAAGAAATGGTGGTATGGTAAAACAGTTGTTCTTGCCATTCTATTTTGGATTGGGAGGACCTGTGGGAAGAGGAGACCAATATATGCCATGGATCCACATCCATGACATGGCCAATTTGTTGTTGTTTGCAATCGAGAATAACAATGTGCAAGGCGTGCTTCATGGAGTTGCTCCCCAGGTTTGTACCATACACAGAGATAATTTAAACTGGAATTAGAGGTATGTGATGTGTATAATTTAGTCTGTATCTGATGCCAGAGTATTCTAAAAGCAGTGCTTCTAAGTATTACACACATCCACAATAAAGAAAATGATACCCAGATGCATCTCATGGTTTAAGGATAGCTTAATGATGATTAATAATTTAAACTTTTGTCAAATGATAATAGCTAGAAACCCTTAACACATTACTGGGATACTGGGAACGACCCGTTCTTCAAGTGCCTGAGCACTGCGGGTCCCAACTTTTCATTGGCTCGATCTATAGACATTCGGTAAGACTCCTTGGACAAGGGATCGGCCCGTTGCAAGGCCTCTACCTGTACACAGGACAGCACAACACAGAAAAACGCGGACAAACATCCATGGCTTGAGTGGGATTCAAACCCACGGTCCCAGCGACCAAGCGGCACAAGGCTCACGCCTCAGACCGCGCGGCCACTGCAGACCCCTCTTAACATATTAAACATGGTAATACCTAATACACCAAGTCCCTAGCAATAGAACCTAATGGGTTAACATGACTAAGTCAAACACTAAACACTATTATTGAGTGGTTAGCACACACTTGCCCCCGCGCTGTAGCCACGCAGTCTGAGGCATCATGCTTCGGACCGGCGATACGGAATGCGCTTTGGTTCGAGTCTCAGGGGAGAAGAAATTTTCTCATGAGCTTTCGACCAGTGTATGGGATAGGTGCCAACCCAGCATCATGAGGAAATTGGGGAACTACAATAAGTAGCGTAATCCGGTCAGGAAAGCTAGCAATGGCTCGGGGTTCGTCGTGCTGACCACATGTCGCCCTATATCTGGTTGGATGATCGTTCACCTCTGCTTAGGCATGTGAACGTGAGGCCAGCAGTCAAGCTAGTCGGCTTTGGCTCTCTGGAGCTGTTACGCCATGGGTTTAATTTAATTTAGAACACACTTGTATTACATTTTATTGGCCCGTGCGCTGGCTATCCTAATTTAGGTTCCCCCCCCCCCACCAATTTTTCCATACACATGCTGAGATAGGACTTTAAGATATGACCATGTCTTCATCTTTCCGAATTCATGATTCACCATAATCCTCCCATTTGACACTATCATATAATCAATGCAGTAGACAAAATGTCATTAAAGAACTCAGAACACTGCTAATACCAAAGTCTAAGCACTGAACACTAACCTGAGCCAGCTCAGTGGAGTTCTCATGATCACAATTTATTTCCATTAGGTCCACCTTAAAATTCAACCTCTTTCTAATGGCAATAACTGCAAAACAAAATTAACTGCATAAACATTGTGGCTCCACATAAGAAAGCACATACAGAAAACAGTCATCACACTGTAACTCATGTAAATTTATGGTGACAGAAGACAGGATAACATGCTACCTTCATACATAAGTACATTCAGCGCAAGAATTTGGAAATTCTGAAATATCTTTGTATCAGCTGTATGTTCTCCAAGACACTGGTATATGAACTCTATGGTGAAACAGTATGTTTATGATAGAAGTGTGAAGTATTTTTAAGTGTACTGCGATACATGCATAGGAAAGGTACTGAATGTGAATAACTGGCGTAAGTGACTTAGGTAATCAATGAAATGTAACCTTCAGAGAGAAAACCTTAATTTAGGAACTTCAAAGGGAATTTTTCTATAAGTGAAAAGCTTTTTTACTGCGGTTATTAACTGCTCTGATTATCTAATTTTATTTTGAACTGGCTATCATTTTGAAAGAGTCAAAAACTTCCAAACATTTTGTAAAAATACTGTAAAATATCGTAATATGCAGAATTGTTACATTTAAGTGGAAAATAGAGGAAGGATATTGCACAAAGAAATTTGAATACACTCTGCCATTGTTATCTTAACATGTAATATGAAACAGTTGGCCGAATAAATTCCAATTACCTCTGGAATATAAGATTTAACAGTCTTAGTTTTTGGATGGCAAATATCTGTTCAGCACTGTCTAGAGACTGGTCATGTATTTCCCACAGTTTGTAAAATTCAAGAATTTTTGCATGCTTTCAAATAAGAATATATATATTCCTATCATCTGGTTACAGATTGTGACGAACAAACAATTCGCAAAAGCATTTGGACGAGCTTTGTGGCGCCCTGCACTGATACGACTTCCTGAGTTTGTGATAAATATTGCATTCAGTGAAGAGCGAGCTAAAATTATGACTGAGGGGCAGAAAGTGATCCCCAAGCGAACTCTTGCATATGGATTTCAATACAAATATCCTGATATTGACTCAGCTTGTAGACAAGTTGCTAAGTTAATCCCATCAAAATAATGTTCATCAACTATTAAATCAGTTTGTCTCTAAATTGTCAGACATTCAGAGATGCCTTGTACTTTAATTCTGTATTTATATTGAGTGAGACTGTCATGTTGCCAACTTGTTAACAAAACACAGATAAACATTACATGTATCTTTTGATTATAGATGATTAAACTTATGTTAAAATTACTTTCAGACATTTTATTTTATGTAATTTATTCCACAAGTAAGTTCTGTCTTGCTGTAAAACATTTATACCCAGAACTAAGGGCTTACATCAGTGTTTCCTAATAGAGGTATCACAGCACCCTGAAGTGCCATAGTCACCTTCCAAGGGAGCCGCAGAAATGTACACATCCTAAGTTTTCTAGTTTATTGCTATTAAACACATGTTTTTAATTTACTCAGCTCCCTCCATATTATTAATTTTACTGCTATGATATATTTAAATCATTTTGACAATGTGACCTATGATTGAGATGGGTGGAATCATGCATTGAGAGTAGCAAAAACAGTGATGGTGTGTAGGAAAACTTGTTACAGCAAAGGGCAGAACATACTTTTGGAAACCACCTTGAATGTATTCATTTGGGTAGCTGGTAGGCAAGATGGTTCAAAAACTAATTTTCAGCTAATAGTTTATTTTAATTCCCCACTGTTTTTTCTGTAGAACAAAATTTCTTTTATTCAAATGTGGCATTTGATTTAACTTTATTAAATTACTGTTGTGGATAATGATCTTAAATGCCATGCACATTTCTGTGTGTTCCTAGCCTGAAGGAATAACATCAGCAGCATAAAGATATATTTTACTTAACCTATTAATTCATCCCATCCTGGACTCTCCTGATTGCTTTCTAGAACAGAAAATGAAGACATTATGTCCTGTTGTGTTCTTGAAAAGCATAACATAAACATGTACAAATTCTACTGACCAAATGTAAAGGTATTATCAGTATGCTTGACACATTGCTCAAATGGCATAGACCAGTGGTATTCAACCTGGGGTACACGAAGACATCTTAGGGGGTACATGAAATTTAAAAAATATATATATATTATTTTATGATAAACACTGAATAATCAGTAATGTAATTTATTTAATTTATTTTAGATGTAGATTATACACTATGTATTACTTGAATTATACACCAACAACTTTGGGGGAACAAAGTTTAAGAGAAATTTTATCTGGGGGTATGCGAACAAAAAAGGTTGAATACCACTGGCATAGACCATGATAGTATGCTGAATTCTGGTATGGAAACCTCTTGGAAAACAACCACTGAGGACTGAAAGGGGGTTTGAAGGATAAAATTAAAATGAATCCAACAGAAATATGAAGTGAGGATGTGAAGAGGACTGAACCAATTCCAGATTATATACACTTGAAGGAATTGGTGTCACATATTAGACTTTTGGGTCCTTTTACCACAGAGATAGCCAGGAACCTACCTATGATTCAGGACCAGGACCATAATTGATACGGAGTGCATACAGTGTATCGACAGTTAGCACATACAATATGTGGCAAGAAGCATGGATTCCTAGTACTTCTGATGATGAGTCCAGATTCACCAGTTGCTGTTTTGCTACGTGAGCCACGTGCTGCCCTGTATGACGGTTTCTCAATTCTGTTGCTATGGCTACAGGCTGCCGATAGATATAAATGTGACGACTTGCTTCACAGACTGCAACGTAAGACATGTCTGCAACAGATTCATCAGTTTCAGAATATCAGCAGAGTCAATAGACACTAGTTACCATACATGTACCTAAAATCTGGTCATAACATCTTGTGTACTTCTGTATTCAATGCATGAAGTGAACAAATAACAGTATCATATCCGTCCATTATTTTCACATCCACAGCCAATTCAGTCTAGTTCACATATTCCAGAACCCTCTTCTCTGAAATAAATACTAAAGTGGCAGTTCAAATTAAATTTTGTAAAATCTGTCAATGTACAAAACAAGGATATGTGATATAAAACACATGAGCCAGGTACTTCAGTCAGTATGGTGACTGGCTATGGACTAGATGGCATGGGTTTGATCCCCGATGGGGGCAGAGGATTTTTCCTCTAGCCTTTGTGTCCAGACCAGTTCTGGGGGCATCTAGTGCCAAGGTCAAGCAAGAGTAGGAGCTATAACCCCCCCCCCAAGCGCCTATATGGCATATAGTGGGACAGCTTACTTTTAGCTTTATGCCATTAAGATTCCATAACCTTCATTATCATTATTGTTTGTTACATGGCAACAGAAGTAACTCTGTTTAAGAATACAGATAAAGTTTGATATGTACCTGGGGAACATGTACAAAATTTCTTCTGCTGCTTTGATGCCTGTACGTAACCAAAGGCAGGAAAGGTGCCAATGTGGGTGCATGGCCAAAGCCCACCTTCTTGAGGGGAATCAAACTGCCAAAGGCAGCCATCAACATCATGACGCAAACAAACTGCAGGCACAACATCAGCCTTCACACGAACATTGAACAGCCACTGGTGCCCTCCCAAGCTAACCTGCAAAACAATGTGTTCACATTAACATATATATTTCAAATCAAGGTACCTTTTATTAACCTCAATTAAATCATCATATATATTATGCAAAAATCTTTCAGTAAATCATATGACAGATTTCATTAAGAAGAAGGAAATTCTGAGAATCCATATGCCTCTTTTTTTTGCATGTCAGTACTTGTATAATATTTTTTTTAAAAAGCACTGAATTGTGGAAAATTATACTATTTTATCTTCTTTGTATGTATAACTGGAATATGCCTTGCTTGCAGCCAAGGTGCCCTAAACAATCTATTCCCACTAGGTTTTCCAATCAAACTTTTATATCCAGTCTACTTTTCCCACATACCTCACCATTGTTAATTTTATTTCCCTTATAATATTATGAACTGTAACACTCACTCTGTGAGATACATCATGGGTATGCGCATCCAATCTCACCAGAAGTGATGTTTCCAATGGAAAGTCATCACATTCCTCTAGCTGCTGTGTATTGAAGGCTGGCACACAGTTGCCACTTGAGTCTGTTACCTAATGATCAAAGAAGCACGAATCAGGCACCCTAATACGATTCAGAGCAATGTCAAGCACACAGCCATGTATAATTTGTTTTGAGTCTAATTAACAATAGCAGTTTTTAATAAAATGTCACAATTTGGAGCTGGAGCGTCCTACGTGAGCGATTAAATGCGAGCGGTGCGAGTTGCATGGGTGAAGCGGAAATATCAAACTGGCTGTTTGTGTGCCGCTGTCCTAGGTTCCAGCGAAGAGGTCAGGAGAGGGAAGCGGCCAAAGTCCGAGATCAAATATTTTGATATTTTCGTGAGAGTCGCTGCGCTGGCCAATAAGGCACATGCGCAGGAAGGCCGTGTGCTTCTATTGCAGTCTCTCACGTAGGACACAACAAGCGATTCCCCACTTCATATGACACCCCATGCTGCTTATTCAGCTCAGGTAGCTCACTTGTTATCGCTTATGTAGGACATTGCCTGAAACTCTGCCGTCCATGTATTATGTACTAATGCAACATAAACTACAAGTAGTAGTTTTGTTATATAAATGTTGTTCCCACGTGTATGAAGCAACATGTACTAAATGTACACACCTTAATTTTTACTGCCATTACCCTATTATGATTGTATTTCTTTTCTCTGATAACATTTACTGTTCTTGTTCATTAACTTGCAATAGTAGGATTGTGTCCATTGAGATATGGAATACTGACATGCCAGAACACATCCCTGGTATTTTAGGTACTTCTTAAGGAAGGCAGGATTTGAGGTTCTAAAGACAGTGAGTACAAGACGGTTGTCTTCTGGGTTACAGTGCTGTGTACATGGCACTACTAAAACTCAGAAGGCAACCATCTTAGTAGTATTTCAGTTCATGTCTTTCCTATTAGTCATGTTTTCAATGCACCTATCCCCCAACTTAGAGTGGGGGACTGATATGTTAATTATTCTTCTGTGATAAACTGCATCAGTTGGGATTAGTTAAGAGTTTAGATAAAAATCTAGGTGTTTATGAGAATCCAATTTCAGTCATGATGGACAGTGGTATCACATTACATACCTCTTTATCAGAGCACAGATGTGCAAGTCTCAGGTGTATCTCCTCAACAAGTGCTGGGTCCATGACTTCCTCCCCTTGAGTCTCTCCTTTCACAAATTCTTGCCACATCAGGCCCTGCTCCCTCTTCACCAATGTAATCTCTAATCTGTAAGAATTTTGATACACCTCACAAACTACAGGAGGTTGGCGACATATTATGAACAGGATCCTTCCATCCTTTTCTCGAACTGGGACCTGTTCATATATGTTTTTTAGGCAGGTGATACAGAAATGGTTTGCCATTGCCTTCTTCCGTGTGTATGGAGTATGGAGTAATTGTTGGGATGCCACAGAGAAACCGAGGAAGCTCCGGAGAAAAACTCCCTGATCAAACAAACTAAAGTACACAAAATATACATCTATTTAAAAACCTAAAAAAAAAATTTTAAATACTTCAATTTACAAAATACAAAGTGCAAGGCATTAGCTTTCACTTGCCTGCATGGATGAGGCAAAGATTCTGAACAGCAGCAACTTTCATAAATATACACTATGAACGCATGAAACTGCTACCATCAGTGCCTTTACAACTTGAAACAGTTTTCAAATATGACTGGTACTTCAAGGAAAATTAATTTAAAACTGTGATGTGACTTATAATGATATTTTATTCTGTTCTCGAAGTCAGCTTGGCTTATATTCATATAAATGTGGTATTACAAGAAGGGCAAAATAAACATGGTAAATAATACACAGAGTGAAAATGAGAAACAAACAGCAACACTTCATGTTTACATACCCAGAATGTTTGTCTTCCTTTAATTTACATAATTCTTTTCAGTCCCATTAATTTGCCTACTATTTGAATAGTTCTTAGTTCCTGCAAAATACATGTAATTTCATTTCATGTTCTGAAGCTTTTTTTTATGGTCATCTTTCCCTTTCAATCGCTGCCTACTCTAATGAGTCGGTTGCCATCTTGGAAGTATTACTTTAGCTTTCAATGTGTGATTTGTTTCTTTATTATTTAATGTTAGTTGAGTCAACTAAATGCAGTGCAGTTGCTTTAATTAAATCTGAGTGTATGGTACGTCATGATAGGAAAAAAAGCTTCCTTATAAAAGAAAGTCAGTATACTACGTAATTAGTTTCGTCCTGTTTTGTGTTTATCATCAGGTTGACAGTCTGTCTAAACAACAATTTTTTATTATAGTTTCAATGTTTATTAAGATCCACATTTAAAACGTTGAAACTATAATAAAAAAATTGTTGATTGTCACTTAACCAGCCATAATGACATAAAACACCACATAGCCCATTCTGGCTAGCTTCAAGACTATAAGCAAGCAAGCAAGCTCACACAAAAGCAAACATATCAACCACCAGACTTAGTGGTTCTTCAAGCTCATTATTACTACTTACTTCCCTTTGTTGAGTGCCCACGTTGTAAGCTGAGACTCTAAGCAGTGCCATGTTGAGCCTTCAAGCAACACAAATTCTTTACACTTAATTTTCACACTGTTTGTGTCTACAGTGACATTCACATCTGATTTTGAAGTCTGTTCAGGGACCTGAAGCCATACAGTAATATCCTCTGTCGTCTGAAGCCACGCATATTGTATGTGCTTATCTGAACACAAGAATAAAATCATCAACTCAAAGAATATATTTTAAATGGAATAATTTACACTCACACTCTCATTCAACACCATATAACATAATGAATTATATTATCTCTCACTGAACACTAAATAACCCAATGAGTAAAATCAGCTTTTACTCAACTAAAATAACCTCTGAAACTGATATGTCATTAAATAATCCATGAACCAGCCAACTAATTCATACCAATCAGAGCAGAACACATGTCAAATTCAAGTGACAATGTACCTATCACACATCCAGTGTGCAAGTCCAAGACAGCCAGACATTTCTGTTATGTTCTGACATCCGTAATTTAGATCTGAAAAGGACACCTTAGAATACACTGACCAGTTGCATCAGATATGTTTGTGAAGTTATTCTGGCCTGCTTACTGAGATATGATTTTGAATTTACTGTACCTCTCACTCTGCTTCCTTCAGGCTCTTTTTTTTCTACTGCACTTTCAGAGTCTGAATCAAATTGAAAAGGCTTTCCACTCGCAATATATAAACTGTGGCAACTGGGCTCCAGTGCAGCATAGTCCAGTCCCCCCACACCTGATAACTGACGCACACACTGCATCAACCAGTCTCGGTTTTCTCCTGAAGATAAGATCAATGCATAATTCATAACTCTTGATCTGTTTAATAACACAATGTGTTATATAGATTAAAATAAGAAATGTTATAAATAAGTCATAAAGGATAATGATCTGGTAAAGATTATTCATGTAAGAATTGCCATCACACTAGGTGTGTGTGTAAAATCCCCTACAGATAAGCTCAATATCTCTAGAAGTGGCAATAATGTTTATCACACTCATTTCATTATGACAGCCACAAATAAATTGTGTCCATTTCCACATAACGTCAGCACTCAAAAGCAGGATCAATATTAACAAGGAATCCTTCTGAAAGCTTAAAAGCATTTATGTACATCAGTGCATCTATTTTTAACAGCAATATAAGCAACTTAAATTATTTTCATTCACTTTCCTGTCTTCTACACTTAATTAAAAAAAATGTTAACCAAAAATCCACTACTTGGCTCACCTAACCATCAAGTACTATTTCAGTCCTGCAGTCAAACATTTTTTTAAAAAAACACCATAACATAACAAAATCAGTTCCTACAGACTGAACTCCTGTTATATTTATATGCTTTTTCATTTAACATTTCCAGTTACAGTACAGCTCTTGCTGGTCTTGATAATGATGACAGAATCTGTTTCTGAGGTACAGGCTCCTTTGAAGTAAGCATCTATGCCCCCAGTGGCAGAAAATGAATGGTTTCTGCTAGGGGCATACGATGTGATGATATGAGCTCTGAACCATGGTTAAAACTTGGCATTCCCCCCCACATCAACAGAAGTATGATGGTGGGGAAAGGCCACGGAAAACTCATAGGGGTCTCCAACTTGTGCCATTCGGCACCAGGTTTCTAGTTACATTTATGTATGTATAATACCATCCAACTAACTAACTATATGGCTTGCAGAACCCAAAGGTTCATCACCAAATTCACCAATGCCCTCCACTGGACTGTCCTGGGCCACCAACATCTGGTCTCCTCCAACTCCTATTTCTCATATATCCTGCCTGACATCTACGTCTAAGTCTAGGTCTCCCCAGCGGTCTCTTCCCCTCAGGCTTCCCAACCAATACCCGGTGCACACCTCTTGCCCCATCCATGTGTGCCACATGCCCCGCCCATCTCATTCTTCTTGACTTTATCACCCTGACAATACTGGGGGAGGAGCACAAATTTTTAAGTTCTTCATTATACAGTTTTCTCCATGCCCCATCGTCTTCTCTTCTAGGTCCAAAATATCCTCCTCAACACCCTATTCTCAAACACCTGCAATTGTATAATACCATCTACAAACCATATAAAATTAAAATCTCTATACGCTAGAAAGTTGAAATACATGTTACATTTATTAAAAATATATTCCTACCTTCTAGAAGAGTGACCCACTCCAACTTTGTGACAAATTTTATGTGTCCATCCTTTTCATCAAGCAGACTTCTCACTTCGTCTACCCAGAGAAGCAAAACGTGGACCTCTTGTTTGTTACTGATTGCATTCACACGAGAATCCACTATTGTAAATGGCTTCTCCTTTCCACATACCTCATCACTAAACAACACCTAAAACATCATCAGATTTGTGTCTTGTGGCTTATATCTTTGACCAACCTGTTCCTCTGCTTGTAGGGCAAAGGTGAAGTAGGAATCCAGATTTATCATTGGAACACTCATAATACGGAATTACATTTTGTTCCTGATAGCATGACGGTGATTGTGAAAGTATGATGATGGCCAGCACAGGAAACCTACTGTTCAATATAAGGGCTTGGTATTCCTCATTGTACTTTTTTAAAGATTAAGTTAACAGAAACACACATAGATAAATTCAGACAGGATCTTACTGGTCATTAACTGAACAAAGCCAAATGAATCATGTTCACTCACATACAAAATCATAATTGTAACAACTGAAAAAGGTATCAATGTAAAAGAAGTGAAAACCTGCAGTCTGGTTCTAGAAATAGTCACTGGACCTTCCTGTTGAAAAATATGATCACATTTAAGGGTGAGCTTTTTATCATGCACCAACAGATCATCTACTAGCGAAATTTGGCATATCTGACATATTTAACATATCACTGAAGTCATGTTTCATTCACACTTACTAGACACAATATAAAATTAATGTAAAGTAAATTATAAAATCTTCTCAGGCCAACTTCCACTTAATTCAAAACAGAAGTCCAGTGTTTCACAGACAATCACCGTCATCAGCAATGAACAGGAAATTGCTCTAAAGTGAAGTGGTTCATCACTAAAGAAGACTTTAATAATTTCTAGTCATCATGAAAGTTTTAGGTCTTATATATATCTTATATAAAATTAAACTAATTCACTGTGAGGACATATTTTTTAAAAAAAAAACAGAAATTGGTATATTAAATTTCTTAAGTAATTTTCAACTGCAGGTTCTTTTTTTAGCATATGCCATTATTTTAAAAATGTTCTTTTGGATGTTAAATGCACAAAATATAAACCTCTGCAGGCATACGAAGACTATACATATCTTACTTTCCATGCTGTAGTTTCAACTCTGATGCCTGTATGAACAACATGCAGGGTACCAGCTCCATCAGAAAGTACTGCCAATTCTGGTGATGAGAAACTGAGTGAAGTGTTGTAATGGCCACATTTTCTTACATGGTTACTTGGCATTTCCCACACTTCCTGCACTCCATCCAGTAACTCAGTCTGAAGAGTTCAAGAAGGTTATCTCAGCATCCAAGCACATGAGGACACAAACCAGAAGAACAATACTGAGAGTTGCACAACAGAACTATTGCAGAAATAGTAGTGATTACAGGTGATCAAGAATGAGCGGTAACAAAAGTGAAAGAGTAAGCATAATAACAATTTATTTATACTGTAACAGCTTCGTAGAAATCCAGGTATTGGTATGAGTGCACTAAGATATGTTAACCTAAACAACAAATTTAACCAAACCAGCACCATGGAACATGCTGTTAAATTCACAATTTAAATACTTACATTTCCATTCCTCACACTCTTATGAACCCTCCATTGTTTATCTATAAAATAAACATCATCTCTAGCCCAAGGATCACCAAACAAATGATTGTGAAGGCCAAAAACTTTGACATGCAAAAATGAGTATTGGTCGTCACTAGGCAGGACATGGTCGACCTCTGAAAAATAAATCGTCGTTTAACATTAATATCTTTCAAGTCAATAAATGACATACGCCACAAGACTATGATCTGACTGCTGAATGGTAGTCACACAAACAAGGGCTACATGTCATTAGGTTAGGTAATATTACGGTGTATGAAGTTTACCGTTGTGTAAATTATGGCGATAAATAGGTACTGGGTCCAATGACAACTTAAATCCAATAAATTTTCCGTCCAAAAGGTCTTTGTTTGGTCTTAATTCCATTAAAGTACACATTATTTACAACACATCAACATTAGCAAATAACACCTTACACAAATAGCATTTACCTAACTTTTCAATGTTGGTATTAATCTATGGTATGCATCATAGATTAATACCAACATTTATTGCACCATCTAACTGAAAAATCAGACGTCAAATTTACAGACCTGTAGCAATTCCCGGAAATACATGTAACGAGCAGCGAAATCACAGCGAACATGCAGATACAAAATTTAGGGTACCTGCAGTGTTGGTAATAATAATAGATGAGTTAAACACAGTTGTGAAAGGGTTGCAGTGTTGGTCACACGTACTATTTGTTGCCGAAGAAGAATTAGAAAATGGCGAATTCTCTAGAAAACTTAGAGACTCAGCTGGAACTATTCATTGAAAATGTAAGACAGATCAGGATAATTGTAGGTGATTTTCAACCTCAGGGTCAAAATGTATTAAACCAAAAGATGTGAGTATTTGTCTTACGTAAGGTGTTTTTAAAAATGTTAGGTGAATGAAATTAATCAGTATAAATACGAAATACCATGTACACCATATTAATTTTGACTTTTAAAATTAATTTTAATATCAACAAGTGTTGAAAACAATGGCTGTAATTATTTTTTCAGACAGTCACTTGTTCATGGGCTTCAAGAGATAGATAAATTAAAATCTCTTCCACAGGAAGTACATATACCTCTGGAAGTATTCGAGTAAGTACTGAGACATAATTAACATATCTTATTAAAAACACCATTTAATTGCATAATTAAGTTGTTAGCACAGTATTTGATCGTGCACACAATTACCCATGACAGTTACATGCTAGTGTTGCAGTTACAACTTGGTCAGTGTCATTTAGATATGGATTAGCCTTCTGGGTCATGATGCCATGTCCACCATGGCCAATGGATCTAAAGTCCTGGAACATATGAGAAACTATGAGTGCACACCAATGAGTACAATCTAGCAACTTGGCTTGCCCTAGCAATAGTGTCATTTCCCCAAGTTGCAACAGTGAACACAGCACTCTGACCCCTGCCATGGGTTTTAGATTTTTTTGGCCTAGCGAGTGATCTTGTGGTTACCAACTATCTGTAGATGTTTAAATATTTCCCAGTGTTTATGTGGAAATATTAGACAGACTGTTAGCAGAAGATTTTGTGAGGTTTTATCAACCAGTATATTGTATGCCTTTCTTGTTTCCTGCTCATCTCATCCTTGATTTTTAACCCTAATTAT